GAAGGGTAATTTAGTATGATGAATCTCATACAGAAATGTCAAAATAAAATAACTAAATTCAACAAAATAACGTTTTTTTCTTTTTTATAGCGTGACATTATTTTCATGACAATTAAGTGCATTTCCACCCCAAATTCTCTGCAAAAAAAACAACTAATCCTCATGACTGTAACACAGTTATTATCATTTTTTGTTTTGATAATAGAAATCTGTATAATTTATCACTGTCACTGTTGTATTTTAATAACTAATACTTTCATAGTGCACACTTACAATTGTACTTTACAAATTAAATATATATTTCTTTGAGTAATACGGTAATTCAATTATTATTTTTTAAATGATAATGAATAAGAATGAGATGTTTTTGCATTCAAATAATAAAAATGAGAGGTTTTTGCATGGCTGCTGGTTATTTTGAGAATTAAATATACTTAACAGTAATAAAAACAATGTCACAACGTATGCAACATACAAGTAAAACATTCTTTTTTTGTTTTGGATAAAATAGGACTAAATATTGCATTTTTCTTCAGATTCGCCCTGACAGAGGCCATGTTTGATAATGCATAATATCATAGCCTAAATCATAGTGCATATTGTCTTAATTTAAGGAAAATTCTGCCGCATTCTTTTCAGTTAACGTGCTAGAGCTGACCAAAATACTGTTTTCCTTGTATATTTTCATCTATAACACAACAGTCACAAACTGTACAGGAAATACGTTTCTTCAAATTATACTCCGTATTGCCCTTAGATCTCCAGACTTCCTGCAACCTGGTTTAAAGGCAATAAGAATAGATCTCGAAAGCTGTTGCAGCTCAACCTGTAGCTTTACACCAGCGAAGGACGAAACGTGATGAAATCGATTGTGAGCTTTACTTCAGCCCTCCAAAAAAGCCAGAAATCTGCTTTGAGCTTAGCAATCACATCCCTGAGTTTCAAGTTAGCTGACAGTAGCACCAAGATAAACAAACATCTGGATAAAAAAATGGGGGAGGAAACAGAGACAAAAATGAAGGCGGAGGGTTACAGCTTCGATATCATAGCTTTCCCTCTCAGACTCCAGGAATCACACTCCAGGTTTATCCGGGGATCAGACGTTTGCCCTGACTAGTCTGCCGGCGCGAGGACCCCGGTGCACCTTGGTGTGTTTGGACAGGTGGTCGCTCCTGGCGAACTTTTTGTCGCACATTGTGCACTCATAAGGCTTGACTCCCGAGTGAGACCGCCGATGGCGGGACAGCTCATCAGAGCGAGAGAACCTTTAAAGCACAAAACACAGCAGGACACACACATCAGCTCACAACTCTGGAAATAAATCATTAAATCAAGGCCCCGTTACAGGATTTGAGGTTAAACAGCTCAACCTATTCACAAGGTTCCCACACTATTCCACTAATACGTACATTTTTATGACTTGCTCTCATGAGATTTTATCATTTTTAAAAAATAATTTTATAGAAATTGCTCTCACAAAAAGATATTTCTAGACACTCAAATATTTTGAGCATTGCTTTTTTCCTTATTCTTTATGAACCACACTTCTGTTCTAACATTTTTTTTTTTTTTTTTGAAAGAAATTAATACCTCAATTCAGCAAGGACATTTTAAATTGATCAAAACTGACAATAAAGGCATTTATAATCTCTGTCACAAAAGATTTCTATTTCAAATAAATGCTGTTCTTCGGAACTTTCTATTATTCAAAGAATCCTGAAAAAATGTATCAGGTTTCTACAAAAATATTAACTGGTTTTAACATTGATAATAACTATAAATGTTTCTTGAGCAGCAAATCAGCATATTAGAATGATTTCTGAATGTGACACTGAAGACTGGAATAATGATGCTGAAAATTCAGCTTTGCATCACAGCAATAAATGACATTTTAAAAGAAAACAGTTATTTTATTTTGAATTGTAATATTTCACACTATGGCTGTTTTTACCCTATTTTTGGTAAGCATAAGAGACATCTTCTAAAAATATTAAAAAATATTGTTTATTAACAATGGCTTGTATGGCCTAGATGACATCAGCCAACCAGAAAAGTTGTTTCAGAGATGGAGCAGATTTTTATGAAAGATTATGAAGAAATATTTTTGTGCATCAATGAATTTTACACAATTAGAGCAATTGTATTTATAGTTGAACTGAATTAGCTTCATAACTAATGAACTTTGCAACATTCACACTGTTACTGAACTAATTTGAATCATCACTGAACTGCATTGAGTTGAATAATGACACTATTGTCTTTTTAGAGCTGCTGAAATTGTATTCATTTCATTTCATAACTGAAGAACTTTGCAACTTTAATACTCTTTCTTATTTATTACTGAGAAGCTGCTTTGAAACAATCTGTATGGTACAAAAGGCTATACGAGATCATGTGACTTGACTATTACAGGAGCAAATAGGATCAGTTTTAATGTGGTTATCATCACTGACAGACATCTCACTTTCATGTTGATTATTTTCATGAATAAAAGTCCAGTTTCAGTGCTCACCTCCACCCACAGTCTGGCCAGCTGCACAGGTAGGGTTTCTCTCCCGTGTGTCTGCGGAAATGAGCCTTCAGGTGGCTGCTCTTGGTGTACATCTTCTCGCACCCGGGGTGAGAGCATTTATGTACCCGCAAGGTTTCTGTGGAGGTCCTGGATGGACGTGGAGTGATGGCTTTGACCAGGCCTGTGCCCGCTATTCCGACCGCCCTGACGGCAATAGGCAGGGGAGCGATCTTCACATACTTTTGGTCTTGGTTGACGGCCTCGCCCACAATGGGGAGGAGAGTTGCTGAGGGCACCTGCGGTGAAAGAAGGGTAATGTTCTGTGCCCCTTGGACACCGAGCAGCAGATGGGCCACCCGGAGCCCGTTGGCCACACCCGATTGGGCGTCTGGCTGTGGGAGGGCGTGGCTTAGCTGGAGAGGTTGTAATTGAAGCACAAACGGAGCACCGACGAGCACCGGCGCAGCACTAGCTGTGGTGTTAACACTCTGAGCGGCAGGAGGCGTTGTGGTTGGGCTGGATTTCGGCTCTGCGTCACTGGGGGAAGACGGCTGTATGGGAGGCTCATCCTCCTTTGACTTCTCCTCCGGACTCAGAGGAGCATCACTCAGAAGCTCCATCTTCTCCATCAAGAACTCCTCAATGTCCTCCAGGGTTGGAGAGAAGGTGCTGGAGAGCTGGGGTATAAAATCAGGCAGCTTGGGCGGCTGAGTCAACATCTCCTCAGTGGAGTCTAAAAAGATCTGCAGCGGCCCATCGTCCTCGTCTTCCTCCCCAGGGCTGTAGCTGAGTTGAGCTCCAGCATCTCCGGTTTCGGGACTGGAGCATGAGATGGAGCTGCCCCTCTCGCTGCTCTCGCTGCTGCCCACTTCCACGAAGAGCAAGGTGGCCAAGGCATGGTCCGCTAACGATTCATTAGAAGCGGCCACCGCTTTGTCACTTATGGAGACCATTTGTTGGTGTGCAGATCAGAGAAAGGCCGAAGGTATTGCCACGATTTGTAAACACTGCGACAAAAAAAAAGAAGATAGAAATTGAATATTGAGGAGAAGCAGTGATGTATAGTAGCACGCTAAAGTATCTGAACACTTTAAACACACTAACAAAAAAGCTAATATATTTCCAGCTCACATTTCATTCCAAAAAAATCATAAGAGAAGATTTTTATTTGTAACTTAATTCAAACATCCAATAAAAATCACCTGGTTACAAAATGGCTCATTAAAGTTAAGTCAGGTCTGTATTTAGTTAGGTTAGCATACACTTGGTGTGATGTTTTGATCTGATGCAATGAAAAATGCACTTTAAGTGTCCAAATAGTTCTGGAGCCAATATTTACATGAGCCCATGCTCATCATTACAACGCGTCCAGAGATTAAAGTACCGAGGTTTATGGGCTAGAAAGAGGAGGGGCTGTTCAAAACACCATCACAACACAAATCACCACCTCAAAATATATCACAATGCACACTAAACCAATTACAAGAGAAACGACATAATCAAACTTGCATAAACACTGCACCGATGCTCAACTACAGCACACACACGAGGCACTAGACATGTGTTTCACAGAAGTGCGTCAGTAGGGCAGGAACACAGGCCTGCACACATGCTCTCAACACACAGCCAAGCAAAACTGCCGCTTTTGCACAACACGGCCACAACCTTCCCAGAAACAGGTGTCAAGTTCAACAAAGTGGGGTCATTTAGATCGAATCTGACCCTCTGTTTAAAAATCGACTTCGGTTTGCTTTATCGAACGTAAAACGATATATGCATGCCTCATTACCTCGTGTAAATATGGATTGGAATGTCCGGATTGTGGATGTATGACAGGATGAATCCAGGTGACCCTTTTAATGTTATTGTTGGGAAGAACATCGTCCTTGCCACGATTCCATGTTGGCATTTCTCTCAGAGGCCTGTCACATGACACGCATCGCAACGCACTCGAGGGCACAGATCCGATTCCTCGCTTCTGATTGGTTGCGTGGCGGGGGCTCGCCTCAAAACGAGTTACGTCATTGGTTAGAGTAAAAGAAGTCATGAATTATTTATAAGAATAGGAAAAACATCCAACGAGAGCAAAAAAAAAATCAGGTCTTGATGCATTTGTTGACTGTTTTGCATGCAGCATTTACAAGCATGCAGCATTTTTAAATGCATCCATAATTATAATATAAAATAATACAACATTTTTTTTTTCGAAAATGCAACATCCAAATTGTTATTTCAAGAAAATTTTGATGAAATGTTTGAAAGTTGAATGATACATTTTATAATAAAAAATATATATAGTTATCATAAATATCATGAAAATACTGCTATTTACTGCTACCTAGTTGTCCTTTGCTTTTGTTTATTTATGTATTTGTTTGTTTAATTATTTATATATTCATATTGTCACAGAAAAAAATACAAAATCATGTTGATTCATAAAGTCTATTTATTTATTTATTTATTATGATTAATAAATTGGTCAAAAAATAATAATTGAAAGAAAAGGAAAAAAGAAAGAAAAACATGGAAATATAAGAGAACCGAGTGAATGATGGAGCAATTGTGGGTAAATATGTCTGTGTTGACTACAAAAAATGAAAGCAGCTGCTATAGAGACACTAGATGGCAGTAGTTGATAAATAACTGCCTGATGCCACCCATCATAAGTCAAGAGATGGCCGGCTATGGCTAAAAATTGTATTATGCTAGTCCTTACATAGCCAAACCTCAATTATAAAATGCAGTATAAGTTTATTAGATTTTATTTGCATTAATATAGTTGCAAATAGCTTTTATCTTTTAGATTAAGGTGCTAAAAGATAGCAACATTAGGCTATATCTTCGAACCAAAACAAAAAGTTTCATAAATATACACAAATTCTTTGAAATTAAATGCTATGCATAGAATTATGTGTCTGCCAACTCAAACATGTGTTATTAAATAAAATAAATCATTAAGACATGCAGTTTAGACTTTTGTTTCTCCAGCACAATAATACAGAAAAGAATAACCAGCAAGTCTTCAGCCATGTTCTTTTCTTCCGTTCTTTCATTCTTTCTTTCATTCTTTCTTTCTTTCTTTCTTTCTTTCTTTAACAGGTTGTACAGAGTTGTGTCACAATATTCAAAACCCAAAACTCTTACTCATCTTCACTTTAAACATTCAGCATGTTTACTTTTCTGCACTTCAATACACCCAAGTCATCTAACACTTCATTGTTACTTGTGTAATTGCTCTCCTTAACAGGTACACAACTGTGCAATATTGCAAATATAATATTGTAAGCCACAGGTTACGTAACAATAGTTCTGTCAAATCATTTAAAGCTCAAATAGAGCTTTTTATGTGAATGTATGACCATATATTGTTTGCTGAATATATACAGCAAATGTTTTTTCCAATAAATTACCTGTATGCATTCAATTGCACATTGCCATCTCTCTTTTCAAAAATACAAAACAGAAGTAGCTGCCCTTTATAGTTTTTGTCACTATCCAGTCTGTGGCTCTGTTGGTAACATCTCAGTCATCTCGTATCAATATCCGCTTTCTCAAAGACGATCTTACTGGAGAAATACACAGCCACCAGACTCAACAGAGACGCACAGGCCATGTATGCGTTCACACTCTGGAAGAGCTGCACGATGGAGCCCATAAAGAGGGACGGGACCACCTGAGACAGCAAGTAGGCACTGTCTAAAATGGCGATATCTGTGCCCATGCCTCTGACGGCTGAAGGTTGTGGCTCCAAGGTGATAGACACATGCAGATCAAGTGATTGTGAGTTTTTTATATTGCTCTGGAAGGCTGGATAGCCATTGACGCACCCATTAGTTCTTTTCTGCTTAGTCGAGGGCGACATCTCTGATCTGATTAACATTAGATCTTCCTCCCTGAGAGGAATTTTGCACCTCTCGGTGGAGAAAAACACCTAGAAATTGAGAAGTGCAGCTGGTTAGGATAAAAACATTTAACGTGGAAGTTATACAAACGCATGATGTTTTGTTTGGAGTCATTACCTGTGTATTTGAGTGGTACAGGCATGTGAGCGTGTATGGCAGAATCTGCAGGGTGCAGAAGGTGTATCCTGTAGCAGCGGCCATGATGGTGACTAGTATAATGTTGTGGAATACGGTCATAACTGCAGTACTCACAGCCAGCAGAATCACGCTGCTCAGGTACAGCTTTCTGACTCCAATACACAACACCATACGCTCCATAAGCAATGAGAAGATCACAGAGGTCACACACTGGAGGAAAAGACCCAGGCTGGCCATTCGCACACCTGGAGTGACATAACATAAAAATATTTAGATTCCATATATAAACTATTACGCCAGGCTACAGTGTCATGTGATCCTTCAGAAATCATGCTAATATACTGATTTTCTGCTGAAAAAAAAAACCATTTCTTATTATCATCAATTTTAAAAACAGTTGTGCTGCTTATATTTATTTATTTATTTGTGGAATGTTTTTCAGGATTCTTTAATGAATAGCAAGTACAAAAGAACATTATTTATTTACCATTATTAATGTCTTTACTATCACTTAACACTTAACTACTATCACGTAATCAGTATTGGCTGAAGTATTGACTTTCTTAAAAATTGTATATATATATATATATAAATCTTTTTGACCCCTCGCCCCCCAAAAAATGTATAAATTAAGTATTAGTGTTATTAAAATTACTAAAATTTTACATATAGTAATATCTAGTATACATATACATATGTATATGAATAATAATTTATAGTAATAAATAAATTCTTTATTATAGATCTATAGTTATTAAAAGTAATATTATTAAATTAATACTTTATGAATAATTTATTAATACTAATAAAAATGTGTGTGTGTGTACTTGTTTATGCTACATGGATTGTAAAACCTGAAATTTTTGACATTGTGGGGACCGGCCTGCGGTCCCCATGAGGGAAATAAATTATTCAAAATAGTAAATTATGTTTATCTGTAAAAGTGTAACAATGCAAACAGGTTTTCTAGGTTTAGGGTTAGGAGATAGAAAATATTGTTTGGTCAGTACACTGAAAAAAATGTTTCATTCATCCAATTAAAAAAATTTAGGGTAATGATTCACATCTACATTTTCATTGGCTCAAGTTAAAAAATATAGATGTGAATCATTACCCTAAATTTTTTTAATTGGATGAATGAAACATTTTTTTCAGTGTACTGACCAAACAATATTTTCTATCTCCTAACCCTAAACCTAGAAAACCTGTTTGCATTGTTACACTTTTACAGATAAACATAATTTACTATTTTGAATAATTTATTTCCCTCAACATTTACTTTTATTAGCTCAGCAACATGCTAACACTAACTGAAATAAATGAATATAACATCTCATCTTGAATATAAACATATTTTGTTTTACTGCACTGGTAGAGATTTTGATGAACTCTCAGACAAAAAGGTACAAAAGCTGTGACTGGTGTGTACCTTTTCAAAAGGTACACTTTTGTACCTTTTTTACCCCTAAAAGGTACTGCCCCAGTGACAGCTTTTGTACCTTTTTGTCTGAGAGTTCATTGCATTCTCTTAAAACAGGTTATATGATATGCAGTGTTGCTTCTCATATAAATTTATCTTGTTTTAAGTATTTTTTAAGATATTTTTTCTGTATATATTACAGATAAACCTGCACCTTCATCATAGCGTGTCCTTCCCAAGGAGCCTGGCTCATCACTGGGAACCCCATTATACAATCCCTCTCCAACAAAGTCCGTGTAGAAGAGCATAAAGGACATAAGTGCCATCCAACTGCACAACTCAGCGACAAACAGCCTTGCAATGACTTTTGGCATGCGACTGCACAGCAAGTAGAGTCGGGGAACCACAGAAAGGAGACTAGAGAATGTCCTTCGCAAAAATAGAAATCTGGGGAATGCCACACAAGGGCAGCAGCAAGTCTTCAGGTTTTCATGCCTTCTGGAAACCTCAGCTTCCCCCAGCCGTTCTGTCTGCTCCTCAGAGATGAAGGCCATACCCATCAAACAGGCGAGAAAAATGAAGGTCAGAACAACGTAGATGAAGGCCTCTTGTCCACCCAAGTAGACCACGGTATCTGAAGTGGTCCAGTCAACTGCGGGCAGCAGGTAGCCAATGCATCCGCCCAGACTGAGCATGAGAGAGTAGACAGAAAAAGCCTTGCGACTCTCCTCTTCTCCAGGAAAGAGGTCAGAAACCAAGGCCTCCAAAGGTGTGAAGCAGGCCTGACCACAAAATTCCATCAAACAAATGGCAAGGACCAGCAGCGGGACCTCCAGCCAATGCTGCTGTTGTTTTGTGAGCAGGGTGACGAGGGTGGACGTCTGCGGGATGATCAAGAGACCGAGCAGGACACCCATGCACAACACCCATATGAAGGGACGTCTACGACCATATTTACTTCTCAAGCTATCACTCGCCGAACCAATAAGAGGCACAACGATCAGCCCCAGCACAGGTCCCACAGCTGAAATAAAACAAAAAATCATAAAACATCAAATGTAAATTCACTCTGGATGTCAGTTTCTGCTAAATGTATATCGTATGGCACTATTTTTCTTCTGTAAAAACGTTATACAATACAGTACAATTTAATTTATTTAATTATTTATTTAATTTCATTACAATACCCTATATTAAATTACTGAATCATTTTATTTATTGAATACTTTATACTTAATTACTGAAAAAACAACATAGTATTATAATATTTTTTTAAATGATACAGCTGTCTTTACCGAAAAGAGGCCCCTCACAAGGAAATCAACATATTTGGGTGTCCTTGGCAATAAAAAGTCTAAAAACCCAAGAGATGGAAGTGATGATGCATTGACGTGGAATTTGCGGCTCAGTAAGAGAGTCAAATGTAACCATGAATATGTGAACTTGATGTAGGTTACGCAATCTTGACGGAATGGAACAGTTCCCATATTAAAATGTTATGTTTGTTTTTACGTCAGCATTCAAGGAGCGTTGAATAGCGTGAATAGCGCTTTTGGAAACACGGCGACACACCTTCTTGCGTCATGTCAGATACATGTATATGTCCTTTAAGGAACTTGTTATCTGTGTTTGACAACTCATATTTGACATATTTCTGATATAGTATGAACGCAGAAGCATTCTCAGTCTTTGTGCAAATCACGTATTTCTACACGTGCCCGCCATTTCAAAACCTTGGAGCTCACGAGAAGCCATTCCAACACCTTCAAAATGTTTGGTTTTCAGTCCAGAATCTTTAATAACTAGGCCACACCACTGACCTCTAAAAAAATAACTTTTGAAAATGACCTCTTTTGAAGTGACTTACCCAGTACCATAGTCATGAATCGTTCTTCCACCCCTGCCTCCAGCAGCATAGGTGGGATGTAGATTGTCCCAGCAGCCAAACATACCTCCAGACCACATGTTAATGCATTAATCAAGAACAACTGCGAGATCCTGCCATGCATGTCCAGGTTATTCACTCTTCACCTCTTCAAACTCTGCAGTGATGAAAGAAGCTGTTTAGCCATACTGGAATATTCTTACATTGAAGCATATATCCAACTTTATGGCTACATGCTCTTGCTCACACAAAGCTACCAAACAGATTCAGAAGACTCTAAACATTGTGAATCATATGGTCCTTTTCGGATTTGTCTATTTGCTGTTTACTTGAGCATCTTTACTTGAGTATGTATGCCAACCAGCTTCCTATGTTTCAGTCTTGTGATTATGAGCATTGACACCAGGATGTGTGACAGAATATTACACCCCTTTAGTCAACTTAGTGTGTTTGTTTAGGACTATAAAATAATGATGAGTTTCTTAGCACTCATCTGATGATCTTTGACTTTAGCTGTGAGGAACAGTTGGCTATGTACTGATCACCGTACATCAATTAGCTTTATGATTGAACACGGTCTTAATTGTTATGAAAAATGTAAAAAGCATGACAATAAACAAAAAATGGCATATGTAGCAATCATTTCTGCAGTGTAGACAATTTCTTTGCCAGTTTCAGTTTAGCTTTGCTTGTGACTTCTGGAAGGCCGCTGGTTTTATTTCTCAGATCTTTCCAGTATAACAGACTCATGGAATATTTGGCCATGGTTTGGAGAAATTTGAGTTGCCTGTTCAGTCCACGCTGACGTGAATTACAGAAGTGTTCGAATGACGCGTGTCTGTGTTTAGTCCATTTAGCAAAATGAAAATCTCCTGTTTCACTTAATAAGTGAATCTCACGAAAGCTGTTAAGTACAAGGAAATGAAGCATGGTTTTTTTGGCCCATTAAGAGTTTTTACACTGTGACTACTTTCATCACAATTAAGAACAGAGATCTCATTATTGTCCCTGCACATTTTAGAGTGGCCTTTTATTGTGGCCAGCCTAAGGCACACCTGTGCAATAATCATGCTGTCTAATCAGCATCTTGATATGCCACACTGTGAGGTGGATGGATTATCTTGGCAAAGGAGAAGTGCTCACTAACACAGATTTAGACAGATTTGTGAACAATATTTGAGAGAAATAGGTCTTTTGTGTACACAGAAAAAGTCTTAGATCTTTGAGTTCAGCTCATGAAAAATGGGGGCAAAAACAAAAGTGTTGCGTTTATAATTTTGTTCAGTGTATATATATATATATATATATTGTTGATGTTAGCACACTATTTGGATTTTACTGAACTAAATCTGTTGATTTGTATACAGTACTTTTAGGGTTATTAGTTATTTTTTATATTAATATTAAGTTTTAATATATTTTTTATCCTTTTGTTAATTGCTGCATTAAATTGACCAAAAATGACAGAAAAGACATACAAAAAGTTACTTTCAGTACATACAAATAATAAACAGCACAACTGCTTGCAACATTGATAACAATAAACATGTTTTTTTTTTTTTTTTGAGCAGCAAATCAGCATATTAGAATACTTTTTAAAGGATCATGTGACTCTGAAGGCTGGAGTAATGATAACAGGAATAAATGTCATTTTAAAAGAAATTACAATAGAAAAGTTATTTTAAATTGTAATAATATTTCACAATATTACTGTTTTTACTGTATTTTTAAAAAAAAATTAAAAACTCAATATTTTTAATCAAATAAATGCAACCTTAGTGAGCATATACAATACTTATTTTAAAAGCATTGACAAATTTTACCCAAACCTTTTCTATGTTAGTGTATATTCTTTAAAAATGCATCATTCATAACTTTAAAATATGACTACATTATGCACAGAAATACTGTGAGGTCACTTAAGTTCAGAACCTTCTTGTGAATATTAATTGTTCATTGACAGTAACCGCTAACTTCCTCATGTCACAGCGCATTGACAGATTATTGGGAAGGAAGGAGAAACGTCTTTAGGCGCAACATGCGCAAACACATTAGAATTGAACTCTTAGGAGTGACACTCTTTTATTTCGCTGTCAACCACATACACTGGACTCCTGCCTCAGCTGAGAGTACAAAGCCTTAAGTATAACCGGAGTTGAACATAACTGAGCCATGAAAAGGTTTTAGACAGGAAAAAGCACTGAAGCGCGCCACATCTTACCTGATGCTGCCTCTGACAGGGAACTTCAGGTCCTGGAAAATTTTTTGTTTCTTAAATTGACATTCTGTATGTATGAATACACCTGTTTTAGGATAAATATAACAAGCATTTTAATATTTAAATAACATTATTTGAAACAAATGATTAAAAGTATTATTTTTACTGGTCTGTAAAGGAATAGAACTAATCATCAATATTTCCCCAGTTATACATGACATTTAAAACCAATAAATTACAACTATAATAAACAACAATAATATAAAGACAGTGATCTATTTGATAAAGTTATGGTTTTACAGCCACAGGCGCATCATCAGCTACACATGATCAATTATTCTGTTACAAAAAAAAAAAAACAACGTTTGAGATACTTGCATTTCATTTCCATCTGTAAGTGTCAGCTGGAGTGATGTGGTCTCCTGTGGCTTTACTGATTCCCATGTGAATGTGTAGAAAGTGCAGTGACATCAGTAGAAGTTTGAGGAGCTGTTCCAGGAGCGCAGCAGGAAGTGGGCGGGATGAGCTGTGAGAACACACACGTCTGAAAGCCACATCACAGAGACTCTACTCGATCTTCAACATTCTTGCTGGGTTTGCAGTCCAGCACAACAGGTGTGCCTGCTTTTATAGAGTAATTTCCTTTAATGGATTATTTACAGTAAATGGGATGTGAAGATTTAATCTGAGAGTTTGTGAGGGGATAGACGACAGGAAAACTATCTATCTATCTATCTATCTATCTATCTATCTATCTATCTATCTATCTATCTATCTGTC